ATCAATGCTAAGCTACTGAACTTTGGGGCCTGTATCAACACCAAGCTAGTGAGCTTCGGAGCCTGCTCTTAGTTCCAAGCTAGTAATGTTTTATGGCCTGCTATCAGTGCCCAACATCAGTCTCTATTTGCCACGAGGATGCCTCTCTCAAAGGCTATTATCATATTGGGGAGTCGTGCTTCAAAAGGTAGTTACAGCATTTGTAGTCACTTTGGCTACTCTTTTCTTCAACAAGTGCACTTTGAATATTTGTACTCCAAAGGCGACGCCACCATGATCTTCTAGTGGAATGGTGGTACTGAGATGGGTTACCTTAGATATTAAACTATAGCAAGTATTATGTCAGTAGGTTCCCGTAGGCATTTTCACCGTTGAGGGTCCATTCGAGTCCAATGAGTCAAATCTGGTTCAACCTTCTAATTGGCCCACTTCTCCTGGGCTTTCTCCATGCTCATTTAATCATACTTGCTCGTCTAATCGAGATGACCTTATCAGTTAGGTTAATACTTAATTTCAGCCCCTCTACATAATCTCTCTTGTTAAAGCTATCACTAGCTTCACTCCCATGGCTAAAGTCAGTCATAGCCTCTTTCATTTCATATACAAATCTGAAAAATGCAAAACAATACATTCATTATCATCTCCTTCATTACAATTCCACCCACCACGACCAATACAAATTACATCTAGAAAGATGTGTTCATAGACAATAAAAGAGAACAAAAACTCATAAGATCAATATGAAACTGCGTAGTGGTTTATATCCAAAATGGCACCTACTAATGGGGGGTTTCCATGTGGAAACTATTTTTATGGTGGAGTGAAGAAGAAAGTCGAAGCCGTCATGATTAAAAACTTAAATCATTGTAAGTAATGGATGTGATATGAATTCAAGTTTGAGTACGACAACTAACATTATTTAGTTGTTACAAAGTAGGAAGGAGTTATAGCCCAATCCTTATTTTCTCGCTATAACTATCAAGTAGCTATGATCTTAGAAAAAGACTTCGGCTATGATACAAGACATTTGTTAAGGACCATATATGCTTTCTTGATAATCACATCTATTATCTCAGCTAACATAATTGATAAGACAATTCTTAAAAGATTGAAAAGACACATGATGAGATTTGAAGGCTTTTTAAGAATGTGAATGATTATCTAAATTTTAAAGACCTTTTAAAAATATGAACGATTATCTCAAGTAGTGAGTGATTGCTCGTGTTAGAAAATTACTAAGGAATCATAATTTTAAGAGGTAGAAGTCCCCTAGTTATCTCTAATCGGGATGTCCAATATTAGAAAGAGAGAGCATCAAACTCACACTTGAAATGACAATTAAATAAATAGAAAAATAAATCAATAAATAAAACACATATTTATAAAAATTTAAATAAGCAAACAAAAAAAAACTTTTTTTTTCAATTAATATCTCACTATTCCCCTCAATTTTAAAATATTAGATTTCTCAAATGAACATAAAACAATATTACTTATATATTGTTGATGTAATGTGCTTGTTTAATTTTGTGTCCCAACAATCACTTATGTTTAGTTAACTCTAGTTATGTTTTGGGTTGGGTTTTGTTAATTAGAGTTAATTTATGCAGAGGAAATTTGTCTATGTGTTTTGTCATACTTGGGTTGATATAATTACATATACAAAGCTTGTAAGGGAAGCTAGAAAGTGAAGAGAAAAAAATTTGTTCAAAGGGCTGTTCTAGTTAGACCCTTTTCCTCATCTGTTTGACTCTTCTTCTTCTTTATTTTCTGTTTAAAAAAAAAAAAGAAAGAAAAAAAAAACTAGATCTGATTTTGTGTGTTTTAGATTGATTTCTTTGTAACTTGTTTCCAAAACAGCCAACATAAAGTGGTATTAGAACCGAGTTCGAAGTGGAAGCTTGGATTTGAAAAAGGGGCTGAAAATAGAGGGTATGTGACAAAGAAAAGTGGGTTTTGCAGAAAATCTCCATGGCTAACTCAAGCAACCAAAATAGGGATATCGAGCAACCATCTATGCCCATTTTTGCTGGAGAAAATTATGATTATTGGTGTGTGAGGATGAAGACCTTATTTTAGTCCCAAGGTTTATGAAACTTGGTGCAAAATGGGTATGATGAACTCCATTCAACAACTACATTAACTTCAGCATAAGAGAAGCAGCTAGGGGAAACCAAAAAAAAAAAAAGAATGCTAAAGCACTCTTCTTTATCCAACAAGCACTCTCTAATGAGTTGTTTCCAAGAATCATTGAAGCCAAGAAATCAAAGAAAGCATGGGACAATTTACAATAAGAATTTCAAGGAGACGAAAAGGTAAGAATCATCAAACTCCAAACTCTTAGAAGGGAGTCAGAATATTTGAAGATGAAAGAATCTGAAACTTTAACTGATTATTTCTCTAAACTAATAGATATTGTCAATCAAATGAAATCATATGGTGAAAGAGTTGAACACAAGATAATTGTTGAGAAAATGCAGGCTTGTTTACCAGAAAAATATAACACAGTGGTGGGAAGAATTGAAGAAACAAAGGATATTTCTGAAATGAGTGTAAAAGAATTGATAGGTTCTTTGAAAGCTCACGAACAAAGGTTGTTAAAACAATTAGAGAAGCCTCTTGAGAGTGCATTCCAATCAAAAGTTAATTTGCATTCTAAAAGTCATGGAGAATTATCAAGTAATGAAGAAACAAGAGTTGAATCATCAAGAGGTGGTAGACAATGAAAAGGAAGAGGAAGATGAAGAGGTAAACAAAGAAATTCATCAAGGGGAAGAGGTAGAAGCAGCAATGATAGAAGTTTAAGTGTGGAAGAAATACAAGAAAGTGCAGAATTTGTGAAAGGGGAAATCATCTCTAGAAGGATTGTTGGTTTCGAGGGAAACCACAATGTTATAAATGCAAGAATTTTGGCCACCTCCAAAAGAATTGCAAAGTCAAAAGAAATCAACAAGCTAATTTTTTCAAGGGAGAAAGATAGAGAATGAAACTTATTTTATGCTTGTCAAGCAGCCTCAGAACACAAAAATGATGTTTGGTACCTTGATAGTTGGTGTAGCGATCATATGACAGGTGATAAGTCTATTTTCTTGGACATGGACACTTTAATTTACTCTCAAGTTAAAATGGGAATTGGAGTGTTGGTAAATACAAAGGGAAAAGGAACAATAAAAGTTCAAACAAAGAAAGGGACTAAGTTTATTCATGATGTGTTGCTTGTTCCAGACTTGGAGCAAAATTTGCCAAGTGTTGGATAACTTGTGGAACATAGATATGCAAGAATTCAGATGGAGAAGAACTGAAGCTTCCCACTTACATTCAACTATGCTAGAAATGTTGCTTTGAAAGCTCATACGAATGATGAGTCATGGTTGTGGCATAGAAGACTTTGGTATTTGAATTTTCATAATCTCAAAGTGCATCACCAAAAGAATATGGTCCAAAGACTTCCAAGTATTGAGGAAATACATGATGTTTGTGAGGGGTGTGCATTTGGGAAGCATCATTAGCAAGCTTTTCCCAAAGGAGTTTCTTGAAGAGCCAAAAAAATGTTAGAGTTAGTTCTTACGGATGTTTGTCGGTCTATGAGAACTCCCTTCCATGCCTAAAACAAATGCTTTATTCTTTTTTTTTTATGACTATACAAGGATGACATGGGTATATTTCATGAGAGAAAGATCCCAAGTGTTCACTATTTTCAAAAGATTCAAGAGCATGGTGGAAAAGCAAAGTGAGCACTACATAAAGACTTTGAGAAGTGATAATGGCAAAGAATACAACTCTAAGGAGTTTGACGAATTTTGTGAAGATGAAGATGTAGAAAGGCAACTAACAGTGGGTTACACTCCACAACAAAATGGAGTATCTGAAAGAAAGAATCAAACGGTGATGGAAATGGCCAAATCTATGATGCATGAAAGAGGGTTACCAAAGAGTTTTTGGGCTGAACCTATTTACGCAACAGTGTACTTGATAAATAGGTGTCCTACCAAAGCCGTTTGGAATGAAACTCCCATAGAAGATTGGAGTAGGAGAAAGCCATCACTAAAACATCTCAAAGTATCTAGATGTGTTTGCTATGTTCAAATTCCAAAGGAAAGAAGAAGCAAATTGGATGAAACAAGTGAGAAATGTATCTTTGTGGGATATAGCAGCAAATCCAAGGGTTATAGATTGTATAGCTTAAAGAAACATCAGATTATAATCAGTCGGCATGTGTTGTTTGATGAGAATGCTTTATGGAATTAGGAAGAAGGTAAAATTGAGAAGCAATTTGTCCTAGTCGATGACGAGGAAGAGAATTCAATACATGAAGACGAAGATAATGAAGATTCACATCATTCCTCACCAAGGGAAGGTTCATAATCATCTTCTAGCTTTACTCCAAGTTTAAGCTCAAATTCTAATTCTTGCTCAACTAGCTCAACTCCAAAAAAAATAAGGAGTTGAAGTGATGTGTATGCTAGATGCAATTTTTGTGTAGCGGAACATGAAATTTTTAAATAAGCAATTAAAGAGGAAGCTTAGAAGAAAGCAATGCAAGAAGAAATTGAAGTCATTGAGAAGAACAACACATGGGAATTGGTTGAAAGACCACAAGGCAAGGAAATCGTTGGGGTGAAGTGGATTTATAAAGTAAAGTTGAATTCAGATGGTCCATTCCAAAGAAACAAGGCAAGGTTGGTCGCCAAAGGGTATAAACAACAGGTTGGAATCGATTTTCAAGAAACATTTGCACCTGTTACATGACTTGACACCATTTGATCTCTCATTGCTTTAGCAGCCCAAAAAGGTTGGTTATTGTATCAACTTTGATGTTAAATTTGTGTTTTTAAATGGAGAATTAAAAGATGAAGACAAGGTGTATATATTAAAGAAAGCATTGTATGGGCTAAAGCAAGCTCCAAGAGCATGGTCTAAGCCAAATTGATTTCTACTTTATCAACAAGTGTTTCAAGAAGAGCAAGAGTGAACCAACCTTATATGTGAAAAATCTAGTTATGTCAATTCTTATTGTTGCCTTGTATGTTGATGATTTGTTATTTTCTGGTAACGATGAGATAATGATTGAAGAATTTAGAAATACCATGATGGGAAGATATGAAATGAGTGGCATAGGTTTGTTGAATCATTTTCTTAGAATTGAAATTTATCAAGTTGAAGATGGAGTATTTATTTCTCAAAAGAAATATGCTGAAAATATTTTAATGAAATTTGGCATGAGTGGTTGTAAGCCCATGGCCATTCCACTAGTTGTGAATGAAAAACTTATAAAGGTAGGTGAAGAGAAAAATGTTGATGGATCGTTATATAGAAGCTTGGTTGGAAATTTGTCGTATCTCATAGCTACAAGGTCAGATAAAATGTATGCTACAAGTTTGCTTTCTAGATTTGTGAATAATCCCAGCAAAAATCATCTTGGTGTTGCAAAACAAGTTTTGAGGTATATTTGAGGCACAACCAGCTATGGTTTCAAATATTACAAAGATTCAAATGTGAAATTATTTGGTTTTTGTGACAGTGATTGGGGTGGCTGCACTGATGATATGAAAAGCACCTTCGGGTATGCAATTTCCTTGGGTTCTAGAGTATTTTGCTTGGGCATCAAAGAAGAAACAAAGTGTGGCACAATCATCTACAGAAGCTGAATATGTTTCAGCGGGTTTGGAAACTTCCCAAGCAATTTGGTTAAGGATAATACTTGAACAAGTTTGCGAAAAGCAAGAAGATGGTACAAAAAAATTTTGTGACAACAAATCAGCCGCCATTGCTAAGAATCTTGTTTTTCATAATCGTACTCATCATATTACAATTGAACATCGTGTAATTTGGGAAGCAATTGAAAAAGGTGAAGTGTAGCTCAAGTTCTGCAAGTCAAATGAACAAATTGCAGATATATTCACTAAGACTCTTCCCAAAGAAAAGTTATAGCATTTCACAGAGTTACTTGGAGTTATGGAGCAGTACATTAGGAGGGACCAATGTTGATGTAATGTGTTTGTTTAATTTTGTATCCAAACAATCACTTATGTTTAGTTAACTCTAGTTGTATTTTGGGTTGGGTTTTGTTAATTAGAGTTAATTTATGTGGAGGAAATTTGTCTAGGTGTTTTGTTGTACTGGGGTTGATATAATTATATATATATAGAGCTTGTAAACGAAGCTAGAAAGTGAAGAGAAAAATCTACTCAAGGGGTTGTTCTATTTAGGCTGCTTTCTCCTATGTTTTGCTTTTCTTCTTCTCTATTCTTCACAAAAAAAACCATATCTGATTTTGTGTGTTTTAGATTGATTTCTTTGCACTTTAAGCACACACTTGCTTCCAAAACACCCAACATATATATATCCATTTTTTTTTTTGGGTAACTAACCATGCAAACTATTTGTTTTATTTTCTTAATTAATCCAATCAAATAAAAATAAAATTATAGCTTATTTCACTCGCCATCTAAAAATAAGTAAAATTATTTCAATTATTTTCCATTTTTTTCCCTCCCTTGTTCCCTATCTACTATTTTAAGATCTAAATATTGCATTAATCCCTACAATTTGGTAGTGCTATATCTCCCTACAACTCGTGAAAAAACTAAAGCTAATCATAATAGTTATTAAAATTTGAAGAAGCCAAACTGTTCACATGGAATTGTAAGTCAAATTCCAGATGACATTAAATAGCAAGTTCTTACCCTTTGGACTTTCAGATATAGAGAGGCTAAATAGTCATTTCTCTAAGGCAAGCCAAACTAAAAATTAAAGAGAGCTTGTATAAGACTAAACATCTTCTATTTTTATATTAATAGTTGTTGTGGATCATGTAAGAATTTTAAAGACGTGGACTTCTCTTGGGTCCAAAATCTAAATTGGATGGTATTGTTCAGGCCCTATTCAGATAATTGTATATTTTGTAGTATTTTTGTGTGTAAAAATATTGAGTTGATCTGATAATTGTAAAATGTTCATTTAATCATGCTTGTCACCAAAAAAAAAAATGAATGGTCTATTTTACAAAACACACATGTCATTCTTTTTTTTTTTCCCCAAAGACAAATGCGATGAAATGAAGATGTTACAATAATTAAATCAACAGAACCCTACAAAGTGAATAGTTTGGATCATTGAAATGGGACTGTGGTGGATCCCAAGGACTCGAACAACACCCTCTAGTTTGGACTGAAGAGAAGCCCAATTCAATTCTAAATTATAAAATGAAAAATTTGAAGTGTGCTCTCACATAAAGAGTTATATATGATTTAGTAATCAAATTTTATGCCCCTAGAATAACTATGAGACATGATTGATCAATTATGAATATTTTGTTATACAAATCTTAGAGACATGATTGATCAACTATGAATATTTTAAAACAAAAGGAGAAAAAATTTAAAACAAAAGTATATAATGCAAGGTTCTTATTAAAAATCCAGTGAGACCCAAGAGGTGTTGCGCTGGCATACAACTCCTATCTAAGTTTCATACAAAGGTAATACCATTGTTTTGGACTTTGATTTTGAAACTTAAATACCATATAAAACATTTCTTCTCTCTCTCCTCTGCATTCTAGTAATGGCTGCTGCATTTAAAAAAATCAACAATGTCCTTTCTTTTTCCACCACAACAATAATGAAACTGTCTCTGCTTCCATGGATTTACACTATAAAACCAGAGACCACGAGCAAATCTCTCTGCTCTAGCTTCTTTTTCATCCAACAAACAACAAGTGCAAAGCCTAAAACAAGAAATGGTGTTCTTTTCCCTACCTCTCTTTACTCCACAAGACTAGGCATCGATAGTGACAACACAAGCAGCAAAAACCCCCACCATTGAAAGTGATTCAACTTCAACAACTCAAACACCAACTACTACTCTCCCAAACCAAACACTTTTGTCATCGAAAGGTTTATTTCTTGATTTGGGTTTTGAAAATTCACGAGATAGTGTAAAAATCGGATTCCCAGTACTAAAGAGGTAAATTAGCGACGATGAACAGAGGCAGTACATGTGGTACCATGGAAAGTCTGATGATGAAAGCAGTGGTTTGGATTCTATCGAGTTAACGATTTCAAGCAATGGGGTTCATTGAGATAGAGGAGCTGGACTTGTCCGCTCGAGCAAAGATATGGGTGTGGTAATGAATCAGTTTACCACCTCAGAAACTCCTAGGGGTGCAAACGGATAGGCTTGCGTTTATGTGTTTGATTGCGGGCATGTCAGAACTTGTGAACCTAGTTCAAGGTGTAGGAATGTTTGACTATTTCTGACTTCTAACATAGAGAAAGGACTATGTGTGACTTAGAGGAACCGTCATTGGTTCGGATCTTGCCCAAATGAAGATGACTTTTACTAAATTTGCTAGGTGCTAAAGATAGGCTAAACCAAAATTGAACTTTCATTGATTGACAAATGAGGTACAATTGACTAATCTAATTGATCTACATTGAGCTAAGAAGCTAAAGTTACAACTATGAAACTATGATAAATGAAAGACTCTTGGTTGAGTTGATTAGTGTTGGACCCCTTCAACTTTGCACTATATAGTGTTGGGGAAGCCCCTATTTCTGCTCAATTGCCAGGAACTTGGCAACCTCTCCTGGTAATATATAAGTCCCAAAACTATAGATACCAAAATACACATTGTACTCCTCATTAAACATGCAAAACCCTAATTAATCGCAATCATGTGATATAAGAAACAATCCCGATACTATAATTCTATTCATAAATGTCCATTGAGTCTTACGAATAGTATCGCATGCATTCTTACATTGATTAATCCAAAACTTAAATTCATAGCATGTGAATGAAAAGAAACAATATCTAAACTCATACAAGTTAATGCCTTAAAGGCTACAAGTTCCAAAGCCTTGCCTAGTTATAACAAAAATGGGACATAAGCCCAATATATCAAAGCACAAGGCTATACAAGAAACAAAATACGTACACAAAAGCAACGGAGCCTCAAGCTCTAAGATCCTCCCAGGTCATCACCTTGGCAGAGGCACATGATCAACACCTGAAAGTTATTTTCCATGTAAGGTGAGCATAAAGCCTAGTAGAGATAATCTTAATGACATGTATGATGTTCAACAATACCATATAATGAATGCATATGAAATGACATGCCGAAAAACATGAGTTTTATCCTTTTGAACAAGGGTGATTGACCCATAAATCCCAAATGGTGGAATTAAGGACTAGTTAGTCCCATGTTTTATTTAATACACATAGAAGTCTCATCATATGAGAAGTGACTCTTTTACCCATTGTATATGTTATTTATGGTAGACGATTATAATTCCATATTTTATGTTTATGTTACGTTTGGAAAAAGCTTACCATAGACTTTTTTAGTTTAGCACAGTTATTTGGGTGACCCACATTTGGGTCTAAGTCCAAACATGTCCATCCCTCAACATTGAATGAATGTAGCCCACATCTGAATCCAAAAAACAATGAACTTTTCGCCAAATTAAACAAGGTGACCCACATTCCAGTTCAGACCCAAACATAAACACCAAAAAATTGAGGAATTCAATCGACATTCCTGATCTTGTTCTTCGATTGTCTAGGGTTTTCGTCGTAGCAACATTTCATCATTGCCATTTAGGTATTGCGCACCCATTTGGATGGAATCTTCATCCCAAAGTGGTAACCACATATTTATTCTTCACCTATGTCTGTGAGTGCGTGTGATGCTGTGGTGTGATGGATTACACTATCGGAAGTGATGGTGGCATAAGATAGTGGTCTGGGTCTCTATTCCGTAGGCACTACAATGTGAACATGCGATGTAGCAGCCAAATGTATCGAATGTACCAACGTATCATTTACAGTGAAAAATAGAAATCCAAAAGAATAACACAATGATTTGCCACGAAATCGCATCAACACAATGGTTGTTAGTATGTGTGAACATTGCAATGTGACCATGTGTTTGTCCCCCAAATCGCCACATAACATCACATAATGATCAATTGCACAACCCACATGGCAATGTTTACACCACCAAACACAAACCCATGAAAAAAGAACACAAAAACACACATTACCGTCGATAATCCAGAAGCTGCTCCCCTGACTTCACACCTCCTTGAGCCGACAAACCGCAAGCAACCCTACCAAACGTGATCACCTTAATTCACTACCTTCAGTATTCAAATACTCACAAACCCTGAATACCCACAAAATTCGGCACGTATTTGATCTTTCCAAAAATATGTAAAGCCAAACAAACGTAATCAACTGAAGTCAAAATCCCTTTGACAATGTTACACTCCATGAATAAAGGGTAAAAAAGGTCACCAAAACCATTCCAAAATCAGCAAATAGGATCTTGCAGATCATATTGCCAACAAAAAAAAAAAAAAAAAGACTTCTCAGAGTATTAAAAAAATAGGACTCCTTAGACTAAAACTCTCCCAAATGGGATTTTCCAATAATTTTCCC